TGGTTTATTCGGTGGAAGATTATATTTTCAGATCCTTAATGATAATTAATACTCCTCTTATTATGATTATGAATATGCTTTGTGAGTAGTTACGTTTGTTCCTGAGGACATGGGAGAAGTCTTGTTATAAGTAGTCATGTGAATTTGGTATTCGTTCGATATTTTGATGAGATGTATGTTGTCTCTCCTCTAGTGGTGTTACGTGAATGTCGATTATATGACACTTCACCGCTATTTGGGCCTAGGGGAAGGCATTGGGAAGTAATAAGTAGATGATGAGTTGCTAGAGTGACAGAAGTTTAAACCCTAGTTTATGAGGTGCTTCGTAAGGGGCTGGTTTGGATCCATATGTTTCATGGTATGGTTAGGTTTACCTTAATTCTTCTTTCGTAGTTGCGGATGCTTGCGAGAGGAGTTAATCATAAGTGAGATGCTTGTCCAAGGAAGGGCAGCACCCAAGCACCGGTCCATCCACACATCAAATTATCAAAGTAACAAACGCGAATCATATGAGCATGATGAAAACTAGCTTTACAATAATTCCCATGTGTCCTTGGAAGCGCTTTGCTTTATATACGAGTTTGTCCGGGCTTGTCCTTTGATACAAAAAGGATTGAGCCACCTTGCTGCACCTTGTTTACTTTATTTACTTGTTACCTGTTACAATTTACCGTATCACAAAATTATCTATTACTGATAATTTCAGTGCTTGCAGAGTATACCTTGCTGAAATCCGCTTGTCATTTCCTTCTGCTCCTCGTTGGGTTCGACACTCTTACTTATCGCAAGGACTACGATTGATCCGCTATACTTGTGGGTCATCACTCGCCATGGCTCGGGAGCTCGCACGCCCAGCAAGGCCGCGCCCCGCCACGCAGCAGGAGCACGCGGGCCGTGGCGTCGGGCAAGGGCAGAGCAGTGGTGAGCTGCGGCGCGGAGGGGGCGGCAGCGCGCGCGAGGCGCAGTGTGCTGCAGAGTAAGACGTGCGGGTGCGGGGAGCGCAGCGAGCTGTGGCGGCGGGCGAAGTGAGCTAGCGCGGCGGCCACGTGCGGTGGTGGGCGGGGCGTGAGCTGTGGCGGGAGCGGCGTGCACGAGCCACGGCAGGCCCGGGGCCGGGGCGAGCGGGTGCCGGGGACATGGCAGGACGCGGGCGGGCCGAGAG